CAGGTTTGCCATGCATGACAAATATTCCATATCTTAATTTAACATACTGCAATAAACTAACGGTGTACATTGTTTGGTTTATTGCCGGCAGTCGGGCAACATCTTCACTCTGAGCAATTTCTCTGTTTGCATTGTCTGTGACCTTGAAAGTTCTGAGTGATGATCAAAGTCAATATCAAGGGTCGTATACTACGGTTTATTTGTTTCATAGTTATTACTTTTCATATAGTCGAAATAATTTATCGTATTTTGGATCGCGTTAAGGTGCGACGCTAGTTTTTGTTTGAAAAACGTCAATGTATACAAAAACTAATTAGAAATTAAAAACATTTATAGATAATGTAAAGTACGGTCTTACACATATCTTTACAACACACTAAAAAAACTGATTTTAAGATTCACATATATAAATTATAAGTATTGTTCTCTGTTTCACCCATCCTCTCTCTCTCTCCCCGTCTGTGATTCACGTGCATAAATAAAGTTACACGCTACCACCACTTCATGACGCAAAATATCATTATGATTCTGAATGTCGACCGCCAAAAGCAGTCGTCATTCATGCATGCATAATCATGCATTTTACAGCTGCTATTATAGACCTTAAGTTGTTCAGTACCTGAAAAATGCTAGTTCAGTTCATCTTGATGAAAATCTTTGTTCAGTAGATTTCGTGCAGCATTTACAGCAAAGTATGCGAAAAAGAATATTCTTATACGCCTTTCTGTATTCGATATGCCTCATTCCATATATAAAAGCGTTCACGATAGAGTTTATTCCAACAAATTCGAAATGAAAAACTACATACCAAATAGAGCTGCATGAATCATCGCAAGAATACTCAAACGCTATTCCAACAACATTCGGAGTTAGGACACAAAATGCCAACACCGCGACAACGATTGCAAATGTCTTTGCCGCTTTCAAAGCAAGGATAAGACGGTGTATACCTGAAAGCTGTTTTTTGTTGTTTTGCTCGTTGGAAAAGGAATTGTTATGGGCCATCGCGGTTTCAGTCCCAATACGTTTACGTTGAGCTCGTGCGATCGTTAGTATACGAAAGTTCACAAAGAATATGAAAGTCAGTGGAATGTACACAATAAAAATATTCATAAGCAAACATGTGTCACGAGAAATATCGCAATAACTTCTTGTTTCTCTTTTTTCCTGTTTATAAGGATCTTGAAGCACAAAGATAAGAATAAATGTAACCGACCAAATTCCTAAAATGACCAGGAAAACACGACGTCGAGTCACAATGAATAGATACTTCAGAGGTTTCACGATGTACAAATAACGATCAATGGTGATAAAGAGAAGTGTAGCCACCGAAGTGAACATCAATGCCCAGATAGTTGGCCGATTCAATGCGCAAAATAAATCCTGATCACCATCGATGTCTACTATAGTCTGAATGAACTCAACAATCCACACTGGATAAAATGTTACGCACACGAGCAAGTCAGCCAGTGCCAAGTTTCCCATCAAGTAAGACGTCGCTGCCTTTTCTTTGTTTACAAAAATTGTGCAAATTAAAACAGTGAGATTGCCTAAAACTCCGATAATCATTGCGATAAATTTAAACACAACCGAGAAGAAGAGAAGATGAACTGGAACTGTATCCATGACTGTTAATCTAAGAAGTTTATAAAGCAAATCTGCATGTATGTACTTCAATGATACAGATAAAAAATTGATAAAACTGTCTGTGTGTTTTTAATTTTGTCTGCAATTAACCGAGTATATTAAACAGTCATCAATAATTCACCTTAACTTGTAGAATATTTTTTTTTACGGCTGCATGTTATAAAAATGAAAAAAGATTAGTGCAATGCAAAATAATCCACCCTTTCAAACAAACTTTGCACTCTCAAGTATATTTAACAGCTCTTTTCATTGACGATTCTTAATTACTTTCCATCAGCGAATTACAATCCTGCGTTGAACTGGAGATGGCTTTCATTTACTATCTCAATATTGCTTAAATCCGATAAAAATTAATTATGTTGGAAAATTCGCCGACGCTTCTTGGAGGAATTAATTAAGAAACATTTTTGAACTGATATATTACTTATAGTTTTGGCGGCAAATTAATTTCGTGCGAGACTTTAGATCCATAAACAAAAGACCAAATAACTCACATAACGACTATACTAGACTGTTTTGAAACGTTTTTTGTTAAAAATTGAAACAATACCATTTTCTGACGTTGAATCTATTTTGAAAAAAGGTTGAAACGGCTCAACGTTCAAACGGTGTTTCAATGGCGATGTTTAATTAATAATAAGTTCACGATTCACGACGCAGTTAGGAAAGACGCGTTAGTAAAGCTTGGTGACAAGCCCAGCCAACGCGTATTGTGTGATTCCGACGCGTACTCTATGATTCTACGAGGGAATTTTGTTAATTTTACGTTGTGATCACTACATTACGAACTTCAACGTTGTGTTTCGCCCCGTCTTGGAACGCGCTTGTTACCAAGCCTTTCTCACGCGTCTTCTCTAGCCGCGTCGGGAGTCGTTAACTCTATTGACTATTTTTTAACGTTGAAACAACGGCCATATTATTTTTTTGTTGTTGGAAAGTCGTTGAAAAAAATTTTAAATGGTCCGTTAAAGTTAGTCGAGAAAGTTTTCTTTCAAAGTTCCCTTACAAGAAAGAACCAAATTTAGAAAAAGGGTGTATTTAAAGCTTTTTTTGTAAGTTTTTTAAACTCCGATGAGAGTTAAAGTTGGACCATATTTCTATTAATGCCGAATAATAGGTCTTAGCTTGTCACAATTGTAAGTGTATTCCGCGGTTGTCTAACGAAATAGAAATAATTTGAATAAATGTGTCGCTGCTGTCTAAATATTTTAACGTTAATGAAATATGTGTGTATATTGTATATCATTAGTACTTTCCAAAAATTCGAAAAAACACTGCGATAATTTTGAATTTGATTGGAAAGAAAATAAACGAATTGGGAGTGCAAATGCACATTTATGGCTGTCATCTACAGTCAAACCGGATGTTCCCCTGTATATTTCAATCAATATTGCGTTATTTATTGCATGGCCAAGTTTGACCGGAAGTTTAGCGCATCAATTAAACTTCAAATTTTAATGGCGCGCGAACTTCTGGTCCAACTTGGCCAATGAATAATGCAATAATGATTGCAAAATTGCAATAATTATACGAGGGAACAGAACATCCGGTTTAACTGTAAAAGATTTCATGAGGTCACCACACTGAAAGATCTGTTGAGAATGACGAATATATTAAAAGATAACTTGTTTATTTCCAATTTGGAGGTGATATATAATCCCTATGATTACGTATAACAGGTCATTCATTGACTTCTTTGCCATGTCAAATATCAGAAATTCAAGGTCTTCCTCATGTAAGTATTTCTCTCCTTTTCGTCCACGCTCTCTGTCCCTGCGGCAATCAGTTGTGGCTGATGTGCATAAAAACACGTGTAACAACACGATCATACTTCACATATCGCGAAATATCATTAGCTATGATTGTTTGTATACTAATTGCAAATAAATATAATATAATATTTAAATAGACAATGCAAATCTACGTAAATTCAAAGTAGTCGTGATACATGCACATGCAATAGGCATTGCAACTGCTGTTATAAAAATTAATTTGTCCAGTGCATAAAAAATGCGAGTTCAGTTCATCTTAGCGGTGATGAAAATCCTTATTAAGCAAGGATAAGAAATTGCTGGAAGAGAAATTGTCATTGGCCATCACTGTTTCGGTTCCCAATACGCTTTCGTTGAGCTCGTGCGATAATCAATATTCGAAAATTCGCCAACAGTATTGAAATCATTTGGAATGTAGACAATAAAAATACTCCTAAGTAAAGACGTGTCTTGAGACATGTCGCAATACTTCAGAGGTTTCACGATGTACAAATAACGATCAATGGTGATAAAAAGCAGCGTATAGCCACCAAAGTGAACATCAATGCCCAGATAGTAGGGCGACTCAATGCGCAAAACAAATCCTGATCACCATCGATATTTAATATAGTCTGAATGAACTCAACAATCCATACTGCATGTTAAAATTTTAAACACACCAGCAAGTCTGCCAGTTTCAGCAAGTTTCTTATCAACTAAGACGTCGCTGCCTTTTCTTTGTTCGAAAAAATTGTGCAAATTAAAACAGTGAGATTGCCTAAAACTCCGATAAGCATTGCGATAAATTTAAATACAACCGAAAATAAGAAAGACGAGCTAGGTTAATATGAGGAGTTTACAAAGCAAAACGGCGTTCTAAACAATACAGTCGAGAAATTAATAAAACTGTCGGTGTATTTGTAAACTTGGTATAAATTATTATGCATGCAATTAATCGAGCGAATTAAACGGCCACTCATTAATAATTCACTATTTCATCACGACCGCAAATGGCAAACGTTTCAGGGTATTGAAAAATAGTCTTTCAATTTGATTGCGGATTATTTGTGTCCCATCAGAGAATTACAATCCCGCAATGGGTTATGATCTATTTTAGAGAGGGTGCACTGTTTCATTTATAGGTAAATATTCTCGATTCAGACGACAAAATTATATTGCACGGAGCTATCAGCAAAAATTAAGCTATCATTAAAACTGTGCCCAGGGATATGATAAGTCGTTAACAATGTTTTTACTAAATGTCTTTTCCAGTTGGAAAAGCAATGTTGTATATTTTCCTAATGTATAAAGTCATGGTGCAAAATTCTACATAATATGCAATGGTACACGGCATATACCACACACCATTTTTCTTCATTATTCACTGGTCCATATAGTCCCTCAATAATAACAGTACTTTGCATTTATTTAATCATGAAAAAGTTATTCGTCTCATTGGAACAAGAAGTCTATATAAATTATACTTAGAAATACAGTTGTCTCCTTTATGTAAAATTTCCCAGTTTAAATCGTCGGGCTGGACGTATGGTTTTGCCATATTGTATTATATCTCAGTAAACTTTCTGTTCTTCTCGTCGTATTTCATTTATTGGATCTATTGCAGCGAAGTATTCTAAACAGAATATCCCTGAATGCCCTTTTGTATCTGATATGCCTCATTCCGTATATGAATGCATTCAAGATCGAGTTTATTCCGATGAATTCATAGTGAATAACTACAAACCAAATAAAGATGCTTGAATCGCTGCGAAAATACTCCAGTGCTACTCCAACAACAGTTGGAGTTAAGACACAAAACGTCAAAACCGCGACAACAATTGAAAATGTTTTCACTGCTTTAATTGCTTTGAAGAAACGTTGTATGCTGGAGAGCTGCTTAAACGATTGCTCGCTGCTGTTAAAATTACGACCAGCTATAAAATGGTTTGCTTCGGCCACGACACGTTTACGTTGAATCCGTGCAATATTTAAAATTCGAAAATTAAGTATTAATATGAAAGTGAGAGGAATATAAACAATGGATGAATTTATTAGCAAAAGCGTAACCATAGATATATCACATAAGCTTCTTTTCCCCTTGTCATCCTTTTTGTAAAGATCTTGAACTACAATGAGGATTAAAACACAAAGAGTAGTTGGCCAAATTCCTGAAATAGCCAGTAAAACACGCCTTTTAGTCACAATTATCGGATACTTGAGAGGTTTCACAATATATAAATAACGATCGATTGTTATTGCGAGAAGTGTGGCCATCGAAGCAAACAGCAATGCCCAGATAGTGGAACGGCTTAAGTCACAAAACAATTCCTGATCGCCGTCGATGTTTAGTATTGTCTGGATGAACTCAACAATCCATATTGGATATAATGTTAAGCACACGAGTAAGTCCGCCATTGCCAAGTTTCCTGTTAAGTAGGATGTTGCTGTCTTTTCTCTTTCCATGAATATTGTGTAAAATAAAACAATGACATTTCCCAAAACTCCGATTATCATTGCGATAAATTTGAATACGACTGAAGAGAAAATTATAGGAAGTGGTACAGTTTCCATAGTGGTCGTCATTATCAGGCAAAATGATGCCTCTGAATTTCAGTTGAATGCCAGTCTTTATTATACTTATTTTCCTATGCAATAAGTTAGCATGGAGCGTTTATTTACACTACATCGACATGCATGTCAATATTTGCACTGGTTGTGCAGATGGCCTTGCATGCATGATTTTCCAGTTATTATAATTGCCTATTAAATTCTGCAAAAGAGAATTGTTTGCAAAAGATGAGAGTGTAAAAAAAATGAAACTTGCTCAATTGAAAGCTATGTGTGTATTTTATAATGATCAATTCGGAACAGAAGAATTTTAATTCCGGGACGCATTCAGTTTGTACAAAAATGTGGACAAAATGATTTAACCGTATAGTTGGTCCATTGTAAACATTAAACCTATATATTATAGCATATAATATATACTTCATTACTTTTAGAATTAACAGTGCTGTTTTACTCAGGGAGAAAAGGTGCCCTAATACATGTGAAAAAATGTGCAATAAATGAGCTTTTTAATTTTTGTTCTCAAACACGTGCAAAGGCTTAGGAGAACTCTTCAGAGAAAGCATTAAAAGAGTTGACGTCGCTTATATATTCGTATTAACCATATAAGACACAAATTCTAAATTTTTCTCAAATGTTACCGAATGATTTCCCAGTTAATACTATATAGGAGAGGAATAATCTTTATACGTCATATTTTCCAAAAGTTTTTAAAAATAATAATAATTCATGAATCATGAACATAATATATTACGTACATTACAATAAATTAGTACAATAAATTACGTCTACATCGTATGCATTATTTACGACAAGTGGAATGAAATATATGCCAGTATAATTATTATAGCACATAATACAATTGTTCATTGTTGATCATGGTTGATAAACATTGTTGAGCAAGGTTGACCATGGTTTAATTCCCGATAATTTACATGATTTGAGTCTACATATTCTGCAAACTAATAATATAAGAATGTTTGGCCAATCTTTAATGTGATTTACAAGAATTCGAAGACGTCTAGAGTCTATCAATGATGGGACACGAATTCTTACAATTATTATTGCTATAATAGCTGAGTAACCTAGAAATGGAATTTTTTTAGAATTTTGCAAGATTTTTGTTAAAAGTATGTAAATTGTAAGTGAAATGCCTAATTTCTTTAATTACTTTTTCAATTCCTACTGATTGTCACGATTAAGGCTTCTATTAACGTCACCGTTAATTAAAATTCAATTGTGACTCAGCACTACATGAGGCTCACGAACGTAGCCAGCCTGTCGATATGTCCAGGTATGCTAATATTTTTGGGTTCATTGACTGTGAAAACAATAAATCTCCGAAGATATGAATAACTATACTAACTGAAAATTTACATAGCGGGACAAAATCGTCATGCTGGCTACGCCAATGATGACTGATGAGGGTGTAACATGTGACTACACTGTTAATTTCAGGGAGTTAAATTAGCACCAAGACTGTTGTTGAATCAACACCTAATGGTGATGTTAAATGAAAAGAGCTATTTTAACACCTAATTTAGAGCTGATTTAACTCTCACCTTTTTATGTATAGCTACTTCACTCTCTCTAACTGTGCTTTGCTCATGCCTTGTTCACGGTAATTTCAATTCGCGGTCTGTTATTCGCGTTACAGTTTATTCTAAACAAAATATCCCCATATGCTTTTTTGTAATTAATATGCTTCATTCCGTAAATAAAGGCGTTCACAATCGAGTTTATTCCGATAAATTTATAGTGAATAACGACATACCAAATCATCTCGCATGAACAACAAAAACTAAACTCCACAGTCACGCCAACACGGCGACAACAATAGAGAACGTTTTAGCTGCCTTCAATCCATGGAAAAGCGCTGTACACTGGAGAGCTGTTTAGATGATTTTTCGATGATATTGGAATTTCGGTTAGCTGTTACACGAGTTGTCTCGGCTGCGATGCGCTTACGTTGGGAGCTTGCAATACTCAAAATTCGAAGTAATAATAAAGTCAGTGGAATGTAAACAATGGAGATATTCATTAGCAAGAACGTGGCGTTAGATATTTCACAATAGATTCTTTTCCCGCTTTTATTCTTTTCATAAGCATCTTGAGTTATAATGATAAAGATGGATGCGACTGACGAAATTCCTAGATTTGCGAGCAAAACCCGCCTTCGCGTCACAAATATTGGGTACTTTAGGGGTTTCACTATGTAAAAAAACGATCAACAGTTATAGCGAGGAGTGTGGCTACCGAAGCGAACAACAATGACCAGGTGATGGAGCGACTTAACTTGCAAAAAAATTGCTGATCACCATCGACATTTAATATCGTCTGAATAAACTCGATAATCCATATTGGATACAATGTCAAACACACGAGTAAGTCTGTCAGTGCCAGGTTTCCAATCGAGTAGGACGTCGCTGTTTTTTCTCTCCTCATGAAAATTATATAAATTATCACGGTAACATTCCCCAGAACTCCAATAATCACTGCGACAAACTTAAATACGACCGAGAAGAGAAGAATGGGCATAGGAACTGTATCCATTGTTAAATTTCAAGATATTTTCAAGAAGAAGCCACTGAATGTCTGTCGAGAATTAAGAAGACTTGTCCCCGCTTTGTTATCATTGCCAATTATTATGTTTCTATGACGCCCATTAACTACGTGGACATGTCATGTTGCTTCTATACTTAAAGCTTACCATTTCATTAGAAGAATAAGGAAGAATTCAATTCAGAATGCAAAAAGACGAACATGCATGTAACAGATTAATAACAATTATCCTGTTGATCAGCCGCTCTTGTACGCAAAGGAAAACTGCCATTAATTTTAATTTAACATTAACATTTTTCAAAATTTCAATAATTATTGCCATTAAAGTAAAAAACAAATTCCGAATAATGATCAGGACATCTTGATATGAATCAAGCAAGGCACAGGTTGAGAGAGTAAAATTTCGACTATATTTCAAAGCCAATTTCAGACAGATGAAATACAATACTTTACAACGCATATATGCATATACAGTAGGAGGCAAAAGTTTGAGTCCAGTGACTGTATTTCATTGTTTTAGCACCATATATTAATTTTCTACAGAAAACCTTACTGATAAGTAAACTAGAAAAAAGTAAATAAGTAAATTGAAAAATAAATGCTGCATAACAACTATGAGATGTTATGATATTCATTTAACGTATGTTAATGTGCAAACATGCATTACATGCCAATGCTTAGTATCCTTCTTTTTTGCCCTTGAAATGGCCTTTATTCTAGCTGGCATAGATTTCATACGTTTGCATGTTCAATACCTTGTCAGCATTCGTTGACCACTTGTGTCAAGTCATCTTAACTGTTGGGTCTGTGTCTCACCCTTTTCCGGTTAAAACGGTCCTACAAGTGTTCCATAAGTTTTAGATCTGGAATTTGAAGTGGAAAGCCATGAGAACGGGATCACCAGAACAAGTTTGCTTCTAAACGATTTTTGGAAAATAGAAGATGTGCATGTGCTTAGGGTGATTATCATGTAGCTAGATGCACGATCATCTTTGTACCAGATGAAATTCCATGTCCTTGAAGAATTGAATGATACTTTCTTTAATTAGGATCCTATTATATCTTTCAATATTGCCAAACCCAGCATGACCGAAGCAGCTAAAAATTTGCTTCAGTAGGATTTAGTTTCTTCGAACATTTCCAAGGTTAGTTGCAAACCAGCTTTTGAAATTCTTACTTTTTCTGCGATCTTACGAGGAAAGAATCCTTCAATACTTAATGCAACCATTTGTCCTTGTGCACCATCACTTTGCCCTCTTTCCCACCCATCTTGGGCAGTGTAAAGGAACGAGAACTTTATTTTGTTATAATTGAGATCATTTGGACCAAAACAGTGTGCAATTAATATGGTTTACAGTACTGAAACACTAACACGCATGTCTTAACTCGAATACGCTGCCAGAATTTAATACTGGAATTCTACAACGACTGGACTCAAACTTTTGCCCCCTACTGTATATATATATATATAT